ATCCATCCATCCATCCATCCATCCATCCATCCATCCATTGATCTGTCCATAATCCATCCATCTACTCCCTCATTTTCACTTACCCAAAACATTAGAGTTCTGACCTAGGTTGCAGTACTGCTGGGATAGACCTGAGGAAAGAAAGAAAACAAGCCGGTCAGAGGATTTGTTGATCCGAGCTTCACTTACTTCCAGCAAGAAACTCTAACTTGCATTCATGCTCCTGCTCTGGATAATCCCCCCCTTTTCTAAAAACTCAATTTTTGAAAGGTTGGGTTTTTTCAGTTTGTAACACAGAGATTCGCAGTGTATATCCTCTCCACAAGGAAGCAATATCTATGAAAATGATAATGATAACAATAAGTCATAGTAACAATAGTAGCAGTAATATTGATAACAATAATGGAGGGATTGGCAAACCAATCAGTTTCCTCACCCATCCAAAATGGAGGTTGGAATAGGTAGCCTTTGAGAACTCTTGTAGCTCTGGTTCTGTGATAAGGAAGCCTCAATTAAAGGCATGTTTAAATAAATGAAGTGAAATGGGGGGAGGCAGAGGATTGGCATGATGCCAGGGGCTAAGCTTGCATTCTGTGTCTGTGAAATAAATTGCGCCTTACTCCCCCCTCCAGCATAGAGAGCCTAGGGGAAACTAGGTGGAAAATGTGAGTAGCTCTCATTAAATGAATAAATGGATTTTTCCCCTTCATTTCATTAATCCATTTGCTTGTGTTAAGTGTGTTTGTTATGAACTTAACCATTGAGGCCCAGAAGACAAAGACTGTGGAATTGCTTCAAACACGTATGGAGAGCAAGGGGGAATCTTGTGACTAAAAGAAAACCTGATTTTTGACCATGTAACACCTATATGCTTACAAAGGACAAATTAGTCTCTACCCTAGAGTTGGAAGTGAGAGGGTCATAGGAACAAATCTCCCCTTTCTAGTGCAGTACCCCCTCTGGGCTCACTCTCCCAATTCCCCACTCTCACTAGCAGGTTGGGCTCCCAGAAGGTGGCTAACTCATTCTACCCTCAGTGATAACACTGAAGAGTTGAGTTTCAGTACTGCCACTCACAAGCCCCTACCCATTTGCTTCCCATTAACTATCAGACAGAGCTAAGCAGCTTTAAGAGAAGGATATTTACAAAGGTGGTTAAGTAAGAACAGTTGGTACAAAATGTTCTCCTTTCCCCAAAGTCTGGGATATACTCTTCCACAGAGCAGAAGGGAAGGAGAGGAGGGGATTAAGCTTAGGTTATGATAATAATGAGCCAACATGTGTGACCAAAGGATAAAATCATAACTCCTGGTTACTGGAAGTCCTTCTTTGAGTCCATAGTCAGGTGTTGCAAGCCATGAAGTGACTTCTTCCTTCAGGCGTGTATCTTTCTGCATCCATCTATGTCTGTGCTTTTCCATGTCTAAGGTGTCTCTGCTCCAAGTGGGATGTACTATTGGTCTCCTCTCTAATGACATCATCAATGGAAGGAAAGGGGAGGAGAAAGAGGGAGAAACTTTTTTTCTCTCCCCAAAAAAGGGTTGCCTGTCAGAGGTATTTTTCAGACTAGAATCCTCAACTCCAGAAGTGAAATCAGCTGGAGCTTAATGGATTGAACATTAATCACCAATAGACTAACTGTTATTTTGTACAAAGACTCAATGAATATGACTTATCCCCTTAGCTAATCATATTATTTTCTTTCTTGCCCCAATCAAGAGCTGCAGACCTGATGAAGATGTCACAAGATATAAACTATCTTGTTAACATATTTGAAAGTTCACCACACTTGCTTCCTAGATTAATTGGAGTGGGGGTGTGAGTGGAGGAACTCCATCCTTATACCATATTATCAGGAAGAATGAAATGTTACTTTAAGAAAAGGCAAGAAATGTTTTGGGAAAGAAACAAAAGAAAAGGAAGGCAAACAGGCAGAGGGAAATGTTCTGTTTGGAATTCATAACCTAGCCACCTCTTACCTTCCTAGTCTTCTTACACCTTATATCCTATCGTGTTCTCTTGGATCCCGTGATGCTGGCCTGGCTGTTTCACAAAGAAAATACTCCTCCCAGGTCTGGGCGTTTTCTCTGACTGTTTGCCTAGAATACTCTTCCTCTTTTGCTCTGACTACTGACTGCCCTGGCTTCCTTTAAGTTCCAACTAACCCCCCCTGTTCTTTAGGAAGACTTCCTCAACCCCAGTGCCTTCTGTCAGTTAATTATTTCCTATTTATCCTGTATATAGCTCACTCTATGTTTGTTTCCATATTATCTCCCTCATTAGGCTGCAAACTCCTTGAGGGCAGGGACTGTCTTTGGCCTCTTGGTATCCACAGTACTTAGCACAGTACCTGGTACACAGTAAGCACTTAATTTATGTTTATTGGCTGGTTGAATTCTAACCTGTACCACAAGGCTAGAGGGTGAGAGATATGACATAGAGAAGGATAGAGAAGAATAGAAAGCCCTGAACTTTCAAAACTAAGGAATATATCTAAGGTTTTTTCTGCAGAGAGGGGGAGCTGGACTTTTTCTGTAGGAAGCTATTTCTTATGTTTGTGATGATGTAGAATCACAAATGTCATCAGATTAGTAAGTATAAAATAATGGTGAGAGGGAGATTAGATGAGCAGCAATGGCTAGAGTCTCCATTCTGAGGAGTGCTGGGGTGGCTATATTTTTAACCTCACATAAGCAGCAGAGGGGTGTCTTTTCTTCCCAAGTATTTGGGTCATGATAAAAAGTTTTTGGAGTCCATCAAATATAACAACTGCTGTCTACTTAAGAGTGTTTCACATAGGGACAAAATGATGCCACCAGAAGGAAATGAGAAAATATTGTTAAGGGAAAAGTGAAGATGGTAGAATAACATCCCTTTACTTTCAGCACAGTGAGCTCTCCCTCCCTCAACTCTTCCAAACAAATCTAGGAAGTGCACCAGATCAAATTTTGATGGAGAAATCCAAGAGAAAGTCATGATGAGTCATTTTCCCAGCCCAGGTTGGCATAGGGTTATAGACAGAGAAGTTTGTGGGCACAGAGGAAGAGATGTGGGCAAAAGCTTGTCTTACAGAGCACTCCAATTCAAGGAAGAGGCGGTGTTCAAGGGCAAGGCCCAATCCCAAGCCCATAGTGGGGCACCTCAACCTTGTGCAGCTTGTGGGAGTTGGTGCTATTTGGTAGGTTTGTTTCCCACTACCCAGTTTTAGGTCACTGATCCAGGGTGGATTGAGGAGGGAAACCTTTCTGGGATGAGGAGTGGCTGTGGGCTCTAGACCATGCTCCAATAGGAACAAGGTCAGAAGCCAGCAGCAGAAGTAAGGCACAGATCCCAGGAGCAGAGAGACGTCTTGGTTCCAGCTTCTATCCCAGACTGAAACCTGCAGAAGAATAAGTAGAGCAGGAATCCCTGACCAAAGAGGGGCCTAGATTTCCATCCCCCTGAACCAGCAGAGCCTCCCACTTGGCTGATAGAGACTGAGTCCAACAGCAGCATGTACTGATGTTCAGACCCAAACCCAGGTCAGGAACTTCTAGAACTCAGACCAGAGGGACAGCAAAGGTTCAACCACAGGAGTTAAGAGACCATAAAACGGTAAACACAAGTAAAGAAGCATAAGAGACAAGACAAGGATAAATTGCTTGTGTTCAAATATGAGGAAATGACACAAGTGTTCCCCAGGGATGCTCTCATCATAAGGAGCCAGAGAAGGAGTCTAATTAGGCAGGGTTCTGTTAGGTCTTAATGATTTAAGAGACGAATGGAAGGAGAAGGGAAGAGAAATACACTGAGAGGGGCCAGGCAGGTTAAGGAAGGTTAGGGAACACAATCTCACGTTATCATCAGGGTGTAAAAGTAAGGAAATGGGTGCATGGGGAAGCTGCTGACATGTGAAATGTACTCATGTCTCACCTGCACTGGTCAAAGGAGGGAAGGATGCACATACACTGTACATACCCTGGAGTACAGGAATATATTTCACTCAACAGGGAAATAGGAAAGGAAAGAGAAAAGGGAGGAGGAAGAATTAGAGGGAGGGTAGATTAAGGGAGGTAAAGCCTAATTAAAACAAACTATAAGGCTGTACCAAATATTGATAGCTCTTTCTGAGGTGACAAAGAATTGGAAAATGAAGGGGTATCCATTAACCGGGGAGTGGCTGAACAAGTTGTGATATTTAAACATGATGGAATATGATTGTGTTGTAAGAACTAATGAAGAGGATGGTTTCAGAGAGACCGGGCAGGAGTCACACAAATTGAATCAGCATGAAGTGAACAGAACTAGATCAGTTTATATATAATAGCAACAATATTGTAAAGACTCATTGTAATGACCATCCACAACTCCAGAGGATTCATGAAACAAGCTGCCTACCTCCTGAGAGCAAGGCGAAGGATGCAGAAGTGGAATGAGACACATTTTTTGGACCTGCTCAATGCAGACATTTGGCTTGACTGTACAGGTTTGTAACAGGGGGCTTGCTTTTCTTTCATTCCCAATTGGGAAAGGGTGGTTGGGATATAAAGGGAAAAAGGTTGATTTTTGCTGGTTGAAAAAATGATTTAAAAAAGAAAGTGTTGCTAAGAATTATGAAATTCTGGTGGAGGAAACCAAAGACTTTGGGCAAAGGTGGTGCTTTCACATGTACTGACTTAAGATGGTTAATAAGTATTTATTTGGAACCTACTATGGTGTGAGGCACTGATCTAGGTCCTGGGGACACATAGAAAGAATGAAACAATCTATATTTAAAAACAATCTTCTGAGAAGGAGAATGTTGGCTTCACCAGACTGAGTGCCAAAGGGGTCCAGGACACAGAAAAGGTCGAGAACCCCTGATTTAGAATGTAATGCTTGAGCTCCATCTTAAAGAAGGAGAAAGATGCTATGAGATGGAGATGAGGAGGAAGCGTATTTTAGGTATGTGGGATAGCCAGTGCAAATGAACAGAGATGAGAGATGGAGGGTTGCATGTAAGGAATATAACAAGGAGGGTGATTTATCTGGCCTACAGAGGACAGGAAGGGGAGGAAGGTTCAATATGATTGAAAAATTAGGTTAGGGCCAGGTTGTGAAGGGCTTTATGCAAGCTGGACAGAGTTCATGTTTAATCCTGTGGATAATAGGG